AATTTGTAACTTTTTTCAACAATTTTTTAAATTCATACATGTGGTCATCAGTTAACCCCTTGAGTGCCAATGGCAAAGATCTTTGCCATTTCGAACTTTGCTCTGAGTGCCACGAAACTGACAATCTTTGCCATGGTAAAAATTGAAATAAAAAAGTCAAAAATGAATAAAAAAAATTTTTTTAATGGTTTTTAGAAAGTCTAAGATATACAGAAAACGATGCCAGTTTCCGTTTTTATATTAAATAAATTACAAAAAAGTAAAAAATTATTAAAAATAACGTTTTTGTCAAATTTTTCAAAATCTTTGCCATGAATAGTGCAATTCATTTGCGTTCTAAACGGCTGAAATCTCTTGAAACTTGTTACTCAGGGGTTTTCGGTGTCGCTGATTACGAATCCGAAGTCATTATTTCAAAATTTTTTAAATTGAAAATGATGGATCTAATATGGCTGACAATTTTTTTAAAAATCAATTAAAATAGCTGATAAATAATTTTTTTGGTAACAAAATAACACAAAATTATGATATTACTGAGTATTACTGATATTACTTGTTTTGTCTAATTTATATTATTCAAATCCATTAGTTGACTGTAGTAATTAAAAGAAAAACAATGTTTTTACAACAAAGTATTTTATTACTAATTACAGTCTCGCAAATAAAACCCCGAGTAATAAATTTCAGTCAATATAAATTAGTTTTTTAAAATATCGTCTGTCATATTGGATCGGACATCTTGAATTTTAAAAATCTGACTTAGGATTCGTAACCAACGACCCCGAAAACCCCCGAGTGACGATTTTCTAGTAAATCTGGTCGATTTTAAAAAATCGTCCGCCATATTGGATCCGCCATTTTGAATTTTCAAAAACGGACATCGAATTCGTAATCAGCGACCCCGAAAACCCCATACTGCCGATTTTTAGGTAAATCTAATCAATTTTTAGAAAATCGTCCGCCATATTGGATCGGCCATTTTGAATTTTGAAAAACGGACATCGAATTCGGAATCAGTGACTCCGAAAACCCCCGAGTGACGATTTTCAGGCGAATTGGATAATTTTTTTTTTGGCATTCAGGGCACATTTACTGTTTTTCACGTGGCACTTAAGGGGTTAACCATCCTTTCTCATCCTCTATAATTTTAATTTTTTTTACTTAAAGTGACATACCTTTCTCTGTTCGACATGATTTCCTAATTTTTAAATCTCATATAACTCATAAAATCATAGATAAATGAAGATAATTTTATATACAGTACAAAAAATCTGTTTTCTGATTTTTTAAAAAACAATTTTAATCCAGATAAAAATGTTCTTCAAACACAAGAAATTAATTATCAAAAAATATAAATAAATAAGTAAATTCACTTTGTAATATAAACAACATTTCAAATAATAAATTGTCAACAAAAAATTAGGAATAATAAATAAAATTTACTTTATAACACAAACAACTATTCAAAAAAAATATTCACACAAAATAATCACTTACTGTTTAAAATCCTAAGTTTCTTTACAGAAAATCCGCTTAAACGTTTAATCCGTTTATGCGAATGCAAAGAATTTTCGGCTGCGAGAAGGGACAATGAAAATCGTGCCTGTCCCCTTATATAATTCAGTACCTTTATGATTAAATATATTGCATTGAGAAATTAATACTAATATTTTTTTTATTGAATTAAGAATATAATAAATAAATTAATCAATTATATAAAATCAAAAACAAAAAATTTAACTTTATTAAAAGAATAAAATGCATTATTAAAGTTAAGAAAGATAATAAGCCAATGAAAAAACAGGACGCTTTTTTTTAACCAATGATATAAGCGTTACTTTCCATCTTTTATTCTTTCTCTCTCGTCAGCAAATATAATTAAATTAACCCTTTCAGTCACAGTGGGACACATATGTCACGCTTATTCAAAAATACATAACTTCCTTAAAACTGAACAGATCGACTTCGCTGAAGTCTCATTTTGAAGAGGAGATGGAGGGCAACAAATATATGTGCATGCCACACCTTTCTTAAATGAAGAAAAAGTTGGTCCCCGATGCCGAAAAAAAACTCTTATATATTTTGAATCTCTGGACACTAAATAAACAAAATTTCAAAGATTCAAAATCGTAACCGATCCTCCTGCATGACTTTTTATGTATTTATTGTTTTTTATGCATTTTAATGAAAAATTGCTTCATTACGATGTGCAGATCAGTTGAAATTACTAGTGCAATTTTTTTATACTTATTAAATGTAAAAATAATAATAATAATAATACATAACTATAATTTTTGGGAATAAAAGTTGGACGATCAATATTGTAATTATAAATTCGCACTGTCAACAAAAATAATAAGAGAGTATTTTCCCTAGAACACCGCAGATGCAAACATTAGATTATCCAAATTTTCTATCACTTCTTATTCTTATTAATATACGCAACATTAGTTACTGCTATTGGAATTTGTATTTGTATCGTGTAACAAAATAAATGATAACAAGTTGGCTAAAAGTAGTTCAAAGTTTTGTAGATGTAGTTGATTTATTTTTAATCTATTTAAAAATGACTTATTACTACAAGTTAAATCACGCCTGTTGTCATGATTGTAATATAAAAAAATTTGTGCCTTGTGTGGTAGAAAAATTGTTTGCAAAGACGGTAATTTAGAAACTTTTTTTATCACAGAAAACCAAGAAAAGCTGATCAAAACTTATGAGAATAGAAATTTTTCTTTAAATAATTTAAAATTTTGTATCGAGCATGTGTGTAAATTGTCAAACAATATTATCGGAACTTATCAACGGCAATTCTATCGTTGGAAATTTTAAATTACTTAAAGAAAAACTTTTATTCATAAAAGTTTGGAAGATCTTTTTATGACTTTCTGTGAAGAAAAAAGTTTTTAAATTACCGTCTTTGCAAACAATTTTTTTACCACATAAGGTACAAACTTTCTATTTTAATCATGACAAAACGCGTGAATAAAAATAAATCAACTATATCTACAAAACTTTGAACTAATTTTAGCCAACTTGTTATCATTTATTTTCTTACACGATACAAATACAAATTCCAATAGCAGTAACTAATGGTGCGTATATTAATAAGAATAAGAAGGGATAGAAAATTTGGATAATCTAATGTTTGCATCTGCGGTGTTCTAGGGAAAATACTCTCTTATTATTTTTGTTGACAGTGCGGATTTTAAATTACAATATTGATCGTCCAACTTTTATTCCCAAAAATTATAGTTATGTATTATTATTATTATTATTTTTACATTTAATAAGTATAAAAAAATTGCACTAGTAATTTCAACTGATCTGCACATCGTAATGAAGCAATTTTTCATTAAAATGCATAAAAAAACAATAAATACATAAAAAGTCATACAGGAGGATGGGTTACGATTTTGTATCTTTGAAATTTTGTTTATTTAGTGTCCAGAGATTCAAAATATATAAGAGTTTTTTTTCGGCATCGGGGACCAACTTTTTCTTCATTTAAGACAGGTGTGATGCCACTTTCAAAAACCCTCCTCTTTTTGAAATACACCCCTTTAAAGAAGGACAAAAAAATAAAATTCGAAAAACCTGTATAAATTTTAGACGCAATCTTTTTGCTTACCTTTTATTATTACACAATGTTAAAAAAATTGTAAAAAAGAAAATAAATTTCAAAAATTGACCCTTTACGTAAAAAAATTAACCAAAACTACCCCCATATAACCGAAAATAAAAAAATTGACAAACATTGCTTGAAACTAGTTACTCGGGGGTTTTCGGGGTCGCTGATGAAGAATCCGGTGTCCGTTTTTCAAAATTCAAAATGGCGGATCCAATATGGTCGACAATTTTTGAAAAAACTTAACGTATTCATCTGAAAATAGTTACTCGGAGGTTTTTTGGGTCGCTGATTACGAATCCGGTGTCAGTTTTTCAAAATTCAAAATGGCGGACCCAATATGGCGGATGAATTTTTAAAAATTCAAGGAATTCACTTGAAATTCGTTACTCGAACTCGCTGATTACAAATTTGGTATCAAGGACCCCAAAAACCCCCGAGTAACAAGTTTCAAGCAAATTCAAATGATTTAAAATTGTTTCTTCCGTCATATTGGATCCGCCATTTTGAATTTAAAAAAATTTTTAATTCTAACAACAGATTCGTAATCAGTGACCCCTAAAACCCCCCGAGTAACCAGTTTCAATCAAATTTGATCAATTTTTAAAAATTTCGTCGACCATATTGGATCCGCCATTTGGATTTTTTGAAAACTGATTTCAGATCCATAATCAGCGACCCCAAAAACCCGCGAGTAACAAGTTTCAAGCAAATTTAGTAAGATTTTACAAATTATGTCCGCCATATTGGATCCGCCATTTTGAATTTAAAAATGTTTTAAATCTGACCTCAAAATTCATAATCAGCGACCCCGGAAACGTTTTAGACATCAGGTTTTGAAAAATTTCGGCCTCATCCTTAATTGCGTGACTCAAAGGGTTAAAATATAATTTAATATTTATATTTTTTAAATTAAAATATTAAAAACAAATGCAGAAATAAATTTTTTTTATTACATAAAAAAACAAATAACAAACAATTGAACGTTGATAAGAGAATATAATGCATATTCGAAGTTAGGAGAGATAAAGAGCCAATAAAAAACAGGACGCCCTTCCGTCATTATTATTAATTATTATTATTATTATTATTATTATTATTATTATTATTATTATTATTATTATTATTATTATTATTATTATTATTAACCAATAAGATATAAGTTGCTTTCCTATCTGTCCCTCCTTCGCTCCTTTTTTTGTCACCAAAAAGAAAGTGGGCATGCGGACGGAATTAAAGAATACGGAGATTATTATGGTAATAATATTACCATGAGGCGGAGATTTTAATATTACTGTAACATTACGTGCTAATTGGGCAAAATCTGCTATTCTAATTAACCTGAAATGTATTTTTTTCTATAAGACGTATATATTGAAAACTATATTTAAAGCTTTATTCAAAACAATTTTTTAAATTATTAAAAAATTCTACATATTCATATCAAACATATATGATAACTGTTATCTACAATATGATGGCGCCCAAAAAAATATTAAATTATATATGTTTGAATAACTTACAAACTATACAATAAAATAAAATTACAATCTCAATACTGTTTCTAGTACATAAAAGATAAAAGTGCTGATTTATAGATCTGTATTTACTTCAGTCCACCTTAGCTGCTTTTACTCTTGGGTAAAGCTGAAAATTAAAATTCATCATTTAAAATTTTTTTAAATAAAACAGTCTTTTATATTTATTTCATTTATCTACATAATAATAGTATAATTTTATAAAATATTTTAGACAAATATTCTATTTAAATTTTTTTTTAAAAAAGTCAACTAATATGTACAAGAAATATATCTTTTTACTTTATGGTAACTCGTTTTATTTGCAAATTTGAAATCATTTTTTGTTAAAAATTTTAACTTACGCCAAGTAAATTTCGTGGTACATATCCCTCTTTATGACCCAATTTACTCCACCACCATTCCCTTTCATTATCATCACCTTTTCTGATTATAACCAGAGAATCGCTATTTTTTAATGAAAGTTCATCATTATGTTGTGCCACATAATCAAATACTGCATACACTTGTCCGCTGTTAATGATACCTAACTTTTCTTGAACACCTGAGGAACAAAAATAAAGCATTATTTCCTAATTTGTCTACAACATAAGAACAAAACCTAGATAACATATTATGTAGTACTTAATTATGTTTTTGTAAATCAGAAAAATCTCTTATAATTCTTAACTAAAATATCAAAATAAATTTTAAATCGTTTCTATTCACAAAACTTTTTTTCTATAGAAAAATATGGAAATTGAATTCAAATTAAATAGGAACTAAGGCTCAATATTTAGACCCGAAAGGACTAGGTCGTTTTTTAACGTAGTTTCTCAAATTGAATTTGAAATCCTTGTTAAATTTACCTTAAGACGTCAGATTTCAAAATGGCAAATCCAATATGGATTCATTTTCTAAAATTGTTTAAATTTACTTGAAACTTGTTACTCTGAGGTTTTTGGAGTTGCCGATTAAAAATTTGAATAAATATTCTACAACAGTTCAAAGTTCTGAAAATGCCCGAGTAAAAAGTTTCCACACAAAGAAAAATGGTGCTGAGGGTCTAGTGAAAATTCCTATGGAATACTAATAATTATACTTTTCTATTATAAGTTACTATTAATTGTAAAATGTACTTCGCATGAAGTAAATATTACCATTTTTGATAGTAAAAATCACTAATAGTAATTATTACAGAAGTCACTTTTAAAAATTCCTACAGATGTAATAGTAATTGCTTTAGAATTTTTAAATTTTATAACGCCCCATATAGCACGACATTTTTTAGCAAGTATATGGATCTTTCTACGTTAAATTTGTCTATGACATTTTTAATTCTGTAAATATATTTTTTTCGTTCATTAGAGGAAAATTTTTTTTAATAGACCTAATTTCAATGACATCCAACTCTAAATGTATTGAATTTAGGAATTATGTCCAAGATTAAAAAAAATGTCAGCTTTTCATAGACTTTTGAAATATGTAAACAAAAAAAATTGTTTGAATTTGTTTATAAAAAATAAAGATTTTTATTTCTTATAAACAAATTAATTTCTTTTTAATTTGAGCATGATTTTTTTTACCTTTTTTTACTTTTATAAACATGAAAGTAATAAAAAAAATTTGTAAAAGATTTTGGAGTTTTTAGTCAAATAGGATTTTTTACTTAACTCATAGAAAAGCATATTAAAAAATGCATTTTGTTTCAAAAAAAAAAACAAAAAAATTCGAAATTTTTTTAAACAAATTATATAAACGAAAATGATTTAAATATTTTCAAATATTTAATAATTTCAAAGAATATAATATAATACATAATATAATAATTTTAACATAAGATAATTAAAAATTAAATTAATCAACGTTATTTTTCACCTAAAATTTGAGAAAATATTTTTGTATTGTATAAAATAAACTTACCTATTTAGAAAAATGTACTAATTTTTAATTCTAACAAATAAAACTGAAAAAACAAGTAATAATTAAAAATAAATATAATCAATGAGAAATACGTATAAATTAAAGCTTGAAAAACGTCGTAATGACTGGTCAGTCAAGGTACCCCAGGTAGCACGTAAGCTTGCAGCAAGCTTGCCTTGCAAGTTTTCTCGGCAACCTTATGGCAAGCTTGGCGCAAACTTACGTAATATAACAAAAAAATTTTGTGGGGGAGGAAATTTATTTTTGTACATACATTGAGCACCAGTTCCTGGGAGGTCAAAAAAATTTACTGTGCAGCCGTAAGTGCTTATGATTTCAAGTGCGCATAGTCCTCATTTTCAATGCAAACTTCTCTGCTGATTGGGCAAGATTATTTGGCAACCATGCACCAACCTTGCGACAAGCTTACCATGCAAGCTTACTGAGCAAGCTTGCGATAATCTTACTGTGCAATCTTGCAACAACCTTACACTGCAATCTTTCGGTAAGCTTACCATGCAATCTTGTGATAATCTTACTGTACAATCTTGCAGTAACCTTACATTGCAATCTTTCGGCAAGGTTACCATATAAGCTTGGGTTAGGTGGGACATTTGAATCTTGCTGCAAACTTGCCATGCAAGGTTGGCAACATTGCGCGGCAAGCTTGCCGCAAGGTTGCTGCAAGCTTACGTGATATCTGGGAAGTAATATGACAACGTCGGAAGCATGGAATAATGCTTAGAAGTTTCTAATTTTTGACCTTCAGTCTGTTGTTAGCAAATCCCGTGAAAAAGAAAAGAAAATGGAGAAGTGAATATGTATTATTCAACTTTATTAGTGTAAATAATTTAATAAGTGACTTCTGTTATAAACATCAGGGTAAGATATATAATATAATAAAATATAATATAGTATAATGTAATTAAATATTTTAAAATATATGGGCGATTCCTAGTGAAAGTTACCTATGACACTTTAACTTTGGTCAATATATATATTTTTAACGTTCTTTATAAAAAATAAGGTTTACGTTTTTTTTATTATTGTTTAAATTTTTTAGGTTTTAATAATAAATAATAGCCATATAATTTTAAAAAGTATTGATTTTAGAAATTATAGCAAAGTTACAAAAAATATTTAATTACGTTATACTATATTATATTTTATTATATTACATATCTTACCCTAATGTTTATAACAGAAGTCACTTATTAAAATATTTACACTAATAAAGTTGAATAATATTCACTTCTCCATTTTCTTTTCTTTTTCACAAGATTTGATAACAACAGACAAAAGGTCAAAAATTGGAAACTTCTACACATTATTCCATGATTCTGACGTTGTCATATTACTTGTACGTTGACTGACCAGTCATTACGACGTTTTTCGCACTTTGATTTTTACGTATTTCTCTTTGATTTTATTTATTTTTAATTATTACTTGTTTTTCAGTTTTATTTGTTAGAGTTAAAAATTAGTACATTTTTTCTAAATAGGTAAGTTCATTTTATACAATACAAAAACATTTACTCAAATTTTAGGTGAAAAATAACGTTAATTAATTTCTTTTTTAATTATATTATGTTAAAATTATTATATTATGTAGGGGAGACTGGGGCAAACCGCCTATGTTAACAGTTGTAAGGTTCTAGTAACTAAAGAAACTAATGAAAAACCTTTTATAACAGCTTGTTGGAAAGGCCATCTAATTTTTATTTTATTTCTACAAAGTGAGCGAATTTTAATAATTTGGTTTTTCCTCAGGCATAAATCTCAAAGTATTAAATTTTGTAATTTTTAGCAAGAGAAGAACAGTTACAGTTTTCCTTCGACTTTTAAAAAATACCAAGTCACAAAAAAAATCGTTTATCACTTTTTATTTAAAACTCGAGCTACTGCAAGTTACACTCACAAAAAATTTCTTCATGTTTAATTACTTACCTACTATTATTTTTATAATAATAGGTAAAAATTTCTTTTTTCGAAAAAAATGTCAAATAGTGTAAGCTATAAGAGGGGGTGTACTTCCGTACACAAAAAATTATTTTAATACGATTCCAAATCGTGTACAGAATTACAAAATTAATTAATTATGTACTCTCTAAATTCGAATCAGCGAAACGTCGCTAATTTGCATATTATATATTATAACTATGCAGCTGATTATAATAATAATTACAGGTAGGACTTCTTAGTCTTTTATTGACTTTTTTCTACTTGTTTTAATAAAATGTGACTTTTTAGACATATTTAAAAATATTCTTTAACAAAATGCTACTTTTTCAGTATAAAATGATAAATCTTCCAAAATTAAATTATTTAAAAAAATATTAATTAAAATACTTTACAAAATTAATTAAGGCGTTGTCCGCATTGGCGAGACAGCCGGTGTGGCGAGACATTAGGATATTTCAGACAGCTGAACTGACTGTGCTGGCACTTCTGGTCTGAAAGTCAAGTTTTATTGTGCTTTAACTTTTCAATATGATACATACGTTTTTGATGAACGAAATATCGCTATACTGCTAATAACAGTTTGAAGATATTTTAAAAGTTTTATTTCCCATCGGTATAAGTGATAATATATAAAAATTTCCGGAATTTTCTGAAGTTTGAGTTTTGAGTATTTAGTATTTAAGTTTCCTTCAAAATTTCCAGAGCACTATGAATGATTGTTCGATGCATAGGATTGTACATCGTCATTACCGAAAAATGCTGTTTCCGGATTGGTGAGACACTTGTTGTCGGCAGTGGTTTTTTTATATCTAATAATACTGTACATGTCCTAATGAATTTGATATAATTTTTGTACGTTTTGTCGACAATATTTTTCATAACTATAGTTTAAATTGAAAAAGATGAACAGGAAGAAAAGCTTATTTGTTTTTAATAACTGTGACATGGATTAGCGGCTCATAATCAGAAAAATATTTGCCTGTATTTTTATGATTGAATAAAACAATATTATGATTTAAAGGCATCAATCTTTGATTCCTTTGTTTTTGTTACGTTTGAACGATGAAGACTCTGATTTTAAGAGTGTCTCGCCACTAAGGAGGATTTTTTATGTCGGTAGTCGCGAGACATTATCGTAAATCGGCAATAACTTTTTGTTCCAATATCTGTTCTGTAACTGTATAAGTTCAATTTGCAGTATAGAGTACACATGTCCATGGATATATATACAGACTTGATGTTCTTGAAAATGTGAGTGCTATAATAAAAAAACAAAACGTGTCTCGCCACTACCGACTCTCCCCTACTTTCAATAATTTTAATCAAATTCTTTAAAAATTATATTGTTTAAAACATTTTTTCATTAAGAATTCTCTAAAATTCAATTACTATTTTAAATTTTGTTAAGAATTTTCAGCAATTAGAATTTACAACAATTTCAATTAAAAACGTCCAAAAATTCAATTATTTATACAAAGCTTAACTGCAAGTCTTACAAAATTCAATTATTTTTCTAACTTTTAATCCTATTTTTAAAAACATCAATTTTGTATACTATATACATGTAGAAATAAGGTAAATACTGATATATAGGTCAAAGCGTCCCGGAAGTCGCTAATAAACGATACAATAGAAGCACCTAGGAGCACCATGAGATCAAGTGACAGAAACATGGCAAAT